GGAAGATATATATATGTATATATATCTATATATAGAGGAAAGGAAAAGACCCATAGTGTACAACTGGACGTTAGCGGTAATAGAGTGACCTCTATTGACGCTAACAAATATAGCTCAGATTTAAGCTCTTCGTCCTGAATTACCCTCAGAAAGTCGTTTTTCCTAAAACTTGATTTCTATTGGTTACTGCTCAACCAATAGGATTTCGAGGCAAATGGAGCCCAGATTCAAGCTCTCCGCTCTAGAAAACCTCGAGCTATCATCTCTGTGATCGGAAGATAGAGGTTTACTTTTCGATCAATTGGGACGTGGACAAAAACAGAAGCAATTTCCGTTTAAGTATCTTTGCAATAGGTGACTTAGCCTTCTTGTTTCTTAATGTTGTATATGCCATTTTGTAGCTCATGAAATTCTCTACCGAATGGTATATAATAGTTGGGGTTTTGTTTGATTATGAGAGGAAAAGTTTTTTACGAAAAGCGGGATAGGTCAATGTTCGCATAGAAAAGCATAGGGAATAATGACTCTTTTCCCAATAACTCAGCAATGGCTCGACGAATCATTCTCATGTTCAAACTCGACCGAGATATTGATGAGACGAAACTTTGTAGAAAATTTCATCGTGATCGGACTCTCCTCTCGAAAGTTATCGTGTAAACGACCGGATAGACAGACGGTCGGATACAGTGACCGATTCTATTGTGTACTCACTTTTTGAATACACAAAGAAAAACACATTGACGATACAATATATCTGTTAGAGAATTTGAATGAAGATAACACAAAACTGATTTATTAATGAGGAAAAGAAATTAGAATATTTTGAGTTGACTAAGAAGTAATTTCATAGAAATATTCAATGTTTATTTATATGGAAGTTTTTTAATTCGTGTATTCCTTCCTTAACAGTTGAAAATTTTCGCTTGATCATTATTGGAAGAGGATCTTTCCAACAATATAAAGAGGCCAATTACTTTCTTTGGCGAAACCTGACATCAAATGATAACTTTTAACGAGAAAATTTCAAACGAACTTGAACATTTTCACTTCGTAAATTTTCAGCAACTACTCAAACGGAACTCACCTTAACATTTGCAAATTTTTGTTTTTTGTTGTTCTAAATGTTGCTTTTACTTCTTTCTGAGCATCCTCACTTTGAATAATTCCAACTAGAACAGTCGTCTTCGGTAGCAAAAGCATGCAACAGAATTTCTGAGTTAAATGTTAGGAAGCTTTTCTTTTCAAAAAGACTGTAGAATAAGACAAAATTTGTGAAGAATCGATCAAAACATTTCGCTTCGCGAAAACTAACATTTGCATTAACATAATCAATGAAACGATCTTTTCATTTTGTTTTTCTTCGAAATTTTTGACTTGAGCGTAGAATGCCTTTTTCCGAGCAGGTTGCAAAACAACACATCGATTTTCTAGGAGTTTACAAAAAAACTCTCGATTGAAGACAAATGAACTAGGCTTTAGTGCAAATTATTTACTTCTCCCATAGTCCATCTTTTTGCATAAAACTTTGATTGAAAACAACAAGACTTTGATAAATTTTTAGACTACTGGAAAATACTACACCAGCTCTACTGTGAACCTTTGATTCTCCATCCCAAAGTTTACCATTTCGAGTCACCACTCATGTACCAAGACTTGTATCAATTAATTAGCTAATTTGAATAGTTATAGCGTTTGTTTTAATTGAACATTTTTGTTTTGTTCAGTAAAGCTGATTTGTACTAGAAACAGCTTTAGTCATGGGCTTATTTGTTGCGAAAAATAAACATTTTAGAGCGTTTCTCGCATGAAGAAAGCTCAATATGAACTCTTTCAGCAAACGATACGCTTCTATCAGTAGGTTTTTTTATAGCACAATCTTGAATTTTGAAAACAACATTGTATACCCCATTTGGGACCTTATCAGATGGTAACCCTGGTTAGTAAAGATGTTCTTGTTCGATCAATTGTATCAACTGAAACAAATATAAATATTAATATACAAAATTTAAAAGAAATTACAGATCTTATGAATAAACTTGCTGAATTTTATTTTTATAATTAAAAAAAAATGTTTATTTATTTTGTTTTTCAAATAAAGCAACAACTCATAGTCAAATCGATGAATATTCTAAAAAACGTACTGCTTAAATGAGTGAAACTGCATCAAGTGCAATTGATAAAGCTGTTGCTGATACAGCAGCTCAACAACAACAACAATTATCTGAAGCAACTGAACTTGAATAGAAACAATGTTTACAAGAATGTATTGTTCTATTAGATTCAGATAAAGCTGTTTTATTAACTGAATTTGAACGAGCTTTAAATGAACGTCTAGAAGCTATTTTACTTAAAGCAAGACAAGATATTGAGTTGTTACAAGATGCAGCTAATCAACAAAAAATGTCTGTTTTTAAAGAAGTACCAGCACGAGCTCATCAACAGCAAGTCGATCAAATTACAGAAGAAGTCATCGAACTTGCTGCTGAAATTACACGACGACGAAATTTTGTAACATGAGAAAAATGAGAATCAAAAGCAGAAAACGTTAACTTTTACAATAAAATAATTGATGTGCCAATAATAATCGTGGTATCAAGCGTAAAATTCTCGTCTCAATTTCATTTATTGTTAATTGAATCAATTGTATTTCGGCTAAACTTTATACTTGATGTAATTTCACAATGAGGTACAATCATATCAACCCCCTCAGAAAATTTTATTTCATGCAGACAAAATAAAAATTATATCATTGGTAAAAGCGTAATAAACTGAGCAAGAATCTGTAATTATCTCGGAGGGGTATACCAAAGTTCCCAACAAAAATTTTTAAAGAACGATTTCCCGAAAAAATAGCTGTGCTCTTTTCGTTCTTTTATCTTTTCTTTCTGCTTTACATTCAAATGTTCAAATTGGCTTGTCCATATATTATTAAGTTATAGTTGGCATGGAAATTCAGTTGAATTTAGAATAAATGTTAATAGTATATGTTATACGACAATTCATGTTGTTTTACTATTGTATTCAACTTTTGTAATTTTAGCGATTCTAAATGACTAGTCGAACTT